GAGGTGTTCGTTGGTGGGGGGGAGTCGGTGTACTTCCCTCTATGGGGGGACCTGTTCGTTCAGACTGGTCACCGCATAGACTCGGGTAGGGAACTAGCCTGTGCCATAATTGCTCCTGGTAACGCGAAAGCGAACCGCACCCCCGTTGACATCAACGACTTCCACTGCGCGCACGGCCACTCCCACGAGGTGCTGCTGAAGAACACGGCGAAGCAGCAAGGGGTGACGCTGGTGGGCCAGCTCCGGGAGTGCATGGGGTGCTCGACGGCAAAGGGGCTATCCAAGCCCATCCCCAACAGGACGTCCACCCGTGCAGTTAAGAAGCTGCAGAGAGTTTTTGTGGATTTGAGTGGGAGGGCAAGGGTGCAGAGCTTGGGGGGGAAGTGGTACACTCTCATTGTAAGGGATGACTGCACGAGGTGGAACCGCGTCTACTTCTTGAAAAACAAGTCAGACGCTGCAGAAGCATTCGAGAGATACCTAGCGGAAAACCGGGCAGACGGAGCCCCATCCGAGGTCATGGTCGTGCGGTCTGACAACGGAGGAGAGTTTTTCGAGGGAGAGTTCGGAAAGCTGTGCCGCAAGTACTGCATCAAGCAGGAGTTCACCCCCGCATACAGCCCAGAATACAACGGTGTAGCTGAGAGAGCACTGGGACTGATCAAGGATGCAGCACTAGCCGCGCGCATACAAGCGCCGATTCTTTACCCCGAAGCGCCGAGCTACCCCTCCCTTTGGGCCGAAGCTACAGCTTGGGCATGCAACGCCCTTAACTGCACCTCCACCACATCCAACCCGGACAAGAAATCGCCGTACGAAATGTGGCACGGGCACCCACCTCCCCCAGAGGCGACGTACCCGTTCCTCAAACCCGCCGTATACAAGGTCAAGCGCACGCACAAGTCAGAGCCGAAAGCAAAAAAGTGTTTTTACCTCGGCCCTGGAATCAACACAAACCGTGATTGCGTGCGCATCCTGAACGAAAAACGCCAAGCGATCACAACTCGCAACTTCACCTGGCAATCTGTGCCCGCCGCCCCGACCGCGCACCCCCAGCCGCTGCCTCCCATTGCAGAGGAGGACGAGGAGCTCACGACTGGGGAGCACGAGGGCGGGGAGGGTGCGTCATGCCACGGTGGAGGGAGGGCGGAGGGAGAACCTGAGGATGGAGGTTTCCACCTTGACACGACGGCAAACCCGGGGCCCGCGGAGCCGCCCGCGCGTGATGCGCCGGCGGCGCCGCCGGCCGCGCCCCAGGAGTCGGGCGCGGGCGACGCTGGCGATGGCGCCCCCTCGAGCAGGGAGGGCGCGAGCGTCGCCCCATCTACCACGTCGACCGGGATGGCCGATGTGGGCGGCGGCGAGGACGACCGTCGCAGCAGCAGCAGCCGCGGTGGCGGCAGCAGCAGCAGCAGCAGCAGCAGCGGCAGCAGCAGCAGCAACAGCAGCGGTAGCGGCAGTGACAGCGGCAGCGACACGGACATCCCGGCCCTCCGCGGGCCCGAGGGACGGAAGCTCGCCCGCTTTGGCGAGCCGGCGGAGCTCACCAGCCGCCGACTCAGGGAGAACCCTCGCCGGAACATGAGGTACGAGTCGTCGCCGTCGCCAACGAGTGCCGAAGGCCTGCTCGCCCGCCATGCGTCGGAGGCGGGGCTGCCCATCCTGCCCATCAACAGCACGACGGAGCACACCCACTGGATGATCGCGTGTGTGGTCGACGTGGTGGAAGAGCTAGAGGCGAGGGCGGTGCAAGCGCTGCTGTGCGAGCGCGCGGAGAAGGCCAACATCGCGCGCCAAGAGGCAGAGGACTTCCTGCTGGGAGCGGAGGACCTCGTGCTCAACTCTCCAGACGCCTTCGCGAGGGCCCTGGCGTCGACCGAGCTGAGTACAGAATCCCCCATAGGCAAGCGTCCGAGTGACGTCGAATCCCCCCCCATGACCGTAGCCGGCGTTAACAAGTCTGTGTACAGAGAGGGATGGGAACAGGCCATGAGGGAAGAGTTTGATGGGCACTTGGGCACGGGAACGTTTTCATTCGTAGACGGTACGCCAGAGGGGCGTAGACCCGTGAGCTCGAAGTGGCGCTTCACTTGGAAGACAAACAAGGACGGAAAAATTGAGAAGTTCAAAGCGCGTCTGGTCGCTAGGGGGTTTTCGCAAATCCCGAACGTGGACTACTTCCACTCATCCTCCCCTTGCCCATCATCCGCATCCATTAAACTGATGCTTGCGGTAGCCAACGAGAAATCGCTGAAACTCAACCACTGGGATGTCAAGCAGGCGTTTACACACGCTAAGTTGGACGAGGATGTGTTTCTGAGGCTCCCCGCGGGGTGCGGGGAAAAATCCCACAAAGTTGTGAAGGCTGAGCGTGCTATTTACGGCTTGAAGCAGAGCGGCAGGCAGTGGGGGTACCACGCTGCCGATACTCTTGTAGAAAACGGGTTCGAGCAGTGCAAGGCTGACCCGTGCGTCTTCCGCAAGATGAAAGACGATGTCGTGGTGATGATTATCGTGATTTATGTGGATGACATTTTGGTGGCTGGGTCTGATGATGATTGCAAGGAGTTGCTTGCTTCCCTCAACAAGGCATTCCCCACCAAAGACCTTGGAGAGTGCGTGTGGTTCGACGGGTGTGCCGTCGAGAGAGACCTAGAGGCTGGGACCCTTAGAATCTCCCAAACCGCGTACATTGACAGCATCGTGAATCGCTTTGATGTGCAGTCGACCTCCTCCATCCCTGCTTCCCCTGGTGTCGATATAGGACCGAAGCGGGATGACGAGAGTGGAGGGGAATGGCCGGTGAGGGAGGCCATCGGCAGCATGATGTGGGTGTCGACGTTCTCGCGCCCGGACATCTCGTTCGCCGTGCGTGCGGTAGCGCGCCATGCCCATGCCCCTGCCGAGAGGCACTGGAAGGCGATCGTGAAGATCCTCGCCTACCTCAAAGAGACGAGGGACCTCGGGATCACCTACGAACGGGGATCGGGGTTGGGGCTGGCGGTGTACGTGGACGCTAGCTACGCCGACGCTGAGGATAGGCGTTCGGTGTCAGGGCTGGCAACAACGGTTGGAGGGACCGTCATCAGCCACGGTAGCAAGACGCAAGCTATCGTATCTTTGTCGTCTACGGAGGCAGAGTACATTGCTGCCGGGGAGGGTGTGAAGGAAGCTTTGTTTGTGCGTGCAGTGCTTTCGTTTATTGCCCCAGAGACCAGTGGCAGCAGCATTCAGGTCCTTGAGGACAATCAGGGGGCTATGGCTTTGGTGCAGAACCCCCTCAGCTCAGCGCGTAGCAAGCACATCGACGTGAGGTACCACTTCATTCGTGGATTGTTCAGGTCGGGGGACATCTCGATCAAGTTTGTGTCGACGTCGGAGCAGCATGCCGACATGCTTACCAAGGCTCTTAGCAAGAGCAGTCTGCAGTACCACCGGCGCAAGTTGATGAATTTGCCGGAGTAGCTAGCAGTTTTTAGCACTTGGGAAGGGCCATGTTTACCATGCGGGAAAGTCGCATTACTGTCGCGGTCTGTGTACCCATGGCAGGAGTAGGGGGCGTTGGGAGGCCATCGTCCGGGGGAACGTAGTTCCTTGCGATCTTGTCTTCGCCTTGGTCTTTCTGATAAGTGCGGCCGTTGTACATCCGCCGTGATAGCAATGGTTTTTGTGTTGGATGGGGTTTTCTTTGGAGGGGTTTTGCCCGGGGGCCGGGTTTCCCCTCCACCACCGTATGGTTTTTTTATTGATGTATCCGGGGTGTTGTTGCCCCACTGATGGTTAGTCACTTGCGTGAAGAACCAGGGAGGGTGTTCGTGGGTCTACGGACATGGTTTGGATACATTAGCCATACGTACAAGTGTGACGCAGATGGTGTAGAACCTTTTAGGTAGGGGTACGGTGATGATGCACCGGGACCCCCTTTGTTGAGTGCAGCAGCCGCGCTGCCACTCTCTCTTTCTCCTCCTGCTTTCCGAGCACGACAGCGTCCTGGGTACGGGCGTTGTCTCACCGTCTGAAGTTAATACACTACACAAACAAGTCCCGATAAGTACGCGGAGTACGGCCGACAAACAGCTTCTGCAGTGCTTGACCCAAGTTGCTAACCGTTGCCACGTAGTTTGGATGTTTGTCGCCCACGGATTCTTCCAGCTGCCGCAAAGTTTCGCGATGCATCAGTTCCGCGTCATAGAATCGCTCCTGCGGATCAAAACGCACACAAATGGGTTTTTAGCGCGGAGCTGGGCCTGCCAGAATGCCGCTTGAGGTGCAGATTCTGTGCAGATATCTCTGGAGGAGTGTACGTACTAGGGCGGCGCGGCCTCCATTGGTAGGCAAGATATAACATGCAGAAGTGTAGACTTGTAGGAGTGAGGAGTCGGAAAATAAGAGGTGTGGAGGTCGGCTTGGTTAGAAAGTGGAGTTGAACGCAAACGAGTACAACACAAAGAGTGCGCAACGAAAAAAATCGTGAAGGCCGTAGCACGACGTGCGAGAAGCGCAAGTGGAAATGCAAATGATATGATGGCTTCTTTGCTTACTAACGCATGGTGGATGGACCCCGCAATGACCGAGTTCACAGTCACCTGCTCATACCCGAAATACAGGCCGGAGGCAATTTCTCGGCACAGATCTCACTTCAGCAGGCCTAGTGCAATATACTTCATACAGGGCTACTGCTCGCCAACGACGATGACTCTTCACTTGGCGCCCACCTCGAGTTCGGTCTTACAGAAATGGAGAATCTGCGAAACAAGTTACCAGGTACATGATGACCCAGTAGGGGACGACCAGGTCCATTCTCGAACCATCGATTTCTCACTATATATAGCACCAAACCTAAATCAGAAAGGACGGACTGGAATTATGAGCTAGGATTACCTGCAGCCAGAGTAACTCGTCATCATCTGCACTATGGCCTGCGCTAGAAGTGCGCAAAACTTCCAAATCCTTGCCATATATGTAGCATAAATGATTGCAGGTTACGTAATCCGTTGTTGCTACTCTCCCCGCACCTCATCCAGTAGCATGCAGCCCATATTGTTCCTCGCGGATGACACCATTGGGTGGTTGGGCCCAAGTGCAGCCTGCATTATCGCTCTGGATTGGTCGTAGGCCTCCCGTGCGCCTTGGTAGTGTCGCTGATGAGGTGGCCACGCAACGAGCAGGTGGAGCAAGTAAGAACGGGTTCCTTAAGCATATCTCGGGGCAATTGAGACTAAAACTCGAGGCGGTACGAACAGGTAAACTGAAAAAAGGCAACGATCACGCAGCAAGACATATCATGTCAACCACCAGCACAGCTACCTGGGTTTTCAGCACCAGCGCAAGTGTAATGAGCGTTCTGGCCACCTGCGGGTGGTCTCCCCCCCAGATTTCTCTCTCGATTTGCAAGGCTTGCTCGCACAGGCGTCTTGCCTCCTCTGGGCCATCGGTATCACGCTGCAGGTCGAACACACGGTATTAGTAACTGAATGCTGAGCTCAGTGCATTTGCCTACTCTACGCAGTCGCTTGACCGTGTCACGTAGGCACGACCGTGGTTATCTCCGCACGCTGGTCGACACGCCCATAATGAATAAACTGACGCATCCCCGTTAGACAAGAGGATACTTTGTTCAAATGTTCGCAGTGTGCACACTCTTCCCCTTTGGCTGTATCGATTTTCAACCCGATGCCTTCCACTGGGTTAGACTGCAATGTACGCAAATTCTGCCTTTGTGGCCTTATCAGCTGCAACATGTACGTTGCGCTAATGCTGCATTGTCTCGTCGACGGTACCAGCGACGATATTTCCAGCCGTACAGGTAGGCGGCTGTCGGCTGAATTGATCGATACCTGGTCCAGAAGCGACTCCGCCAAAGAGGATGAGGCGTTGGCCAGTCGAATCCCCGCGCGTCGGCTTGCGTCAGAGGTAGGGTTCACAGCGTCCCTGTTGTAAACCCGGGTCGCTTCTGCTACTGCCTGAAGACAGGGAAGACAAGAGGTAGGATGTCAAAAACAATTCGGACCAAGCAGCCCCACAGCCGCCTGGAATAACCATGTCAACTGCAGAGAACGCGGGGGGCGTACTCATGTTTTGCATGCCTTTGGACCATCGCCACACGGGGTATCTTGATTGTATGGAATTACTTGCCGATAGAGCTATTAGCACTAGCATTGGCATTCTACAATGGGTGACTGCGGCCACAACACTGTTGTCTCCACTACATCCAACAGGCCAAATACAAAACCGAAGGGGCGAGCAGTCGACGTCAGTAGAGAGTCGAAGTGGAGGCCGGATGTGTGCGTACTTAGTATGATAGGCGCTGGAGTTTCCAAGTACAAGTGATACGAGGGAAATTGACCGCGAACGTGCGGACAGGGGTAGAGCTCTACATGTACTGGTAATCACCTCCCGATGGATCTGCGCGACCTTGAGCGGGTACCCAGCGTACCGCATCAGCTCAGGCAGGGCGTTGGCGTAAGCGCGGTTGTTCTCCGCTATCTCGATCATTGCCTTCAACACCTGTGGGCTAACGTTTTCGAACAGGTGTGTAGCCGACATGTTGCACGTGACACGCAGGCCTCGCGCCCATTCGTACACCTTGTGAGACGCGTCCTTGAGGACGAAAAACTGTTCCAGATGCAACTGCACCTCGCACAGATGCTCTGAACCGCTCTCCAGGCGAACCGCTACGTTCATTTTGACATCACGATATCCACCCGGGGTGAAGCTGCTGCGAAAGCCGTTGGCTACCCTCGGCACAGCAAAGCCAAGGGCCTGGGTTGATCGGAACGATACGAAGCGCACGGGCGCGTGCAAATGAGAGTCCGTACAGGGTGGGTGAAACCCGTGATGCAACAAAACCCGCGTTCATCAGCAGCGCAAACAATCGGAGAAAGTGGTTCGGACCGGCGCCGCGCCGTATAAGGTACATATGGGTGAGTCACCTTGAAGCGCTCGCGAAGATGTTGGCACATCTTCTGAAGGTCTTCTGACGAGTAGCACAGGACGGAAACTCTGGCCATGTCGGTTACCAGCCGAAGGTCATTGCCAGCCCAAGGCATGCTCGCCTTCCGCAGCGTGCTCTCCTCTGACTTGAGCGGGGCCTCCACGAAGGAAGGCGCCTTCACTTGGCGCAACTCCCCGCCCGCGGCACGCTCCGCCTCCACCACCGCGAGCACCTCGGCATCCAATATGCGCTTCGCGTCCGCTGCATCAGCCAGGTAACTTCGGACGTCTCCCGATATCCGCGGCTGCTCAAGCTTCACGGGAGTGACATGATCGATGACGAGCTTGCTATGATCGCGTCTCATAGAGTAGGCCAAGAGGTCGTAGTCAGCTTGGTACTGGTTCACGACCTTGATCCGTTGATATTGCAGCATGTTTGAGTACGCGTCCAGGAAGACTGCCGTGCGCTCAACTTCCTCGTGGGGTACCGCTCTATTACTGGTTGCCGTAGCACGATTCTGATCGCGGAACACGGCCAGCTCTTGCGCCATCTCCTCAACCCTCTCGAAGGTCATACCCACGCTCGCCATGTTGAGACCCTGCTTGAGCCACTGCGGGAAACCTGAGAAAAGGGGTTGCTTTGTCACGACACAGGCCATGTGGTGACAACTATAAATAACGCTGCAAAGGTCGTAGGCGTGCGGGGAGTGATAATCTCGAGACCACACTGGACCAAACACGAAGCGTTTGACCCGGCCCCAAAATGTTGCATCTCACAGACACCAGCTCTCCGACGGTGCACACACCAGGATTGCCACCTCAAAGGTAAACTGTAATAGTAGCAGCTCTCCTGCTGTGTGGGGAAGCCCCGTCTTCTTTATCTTTCTAGCTCTTTTCACCTTGTTTACCCTTTTGGAATCTGGAGACAAATGGTCAACCAAAAGTGACGTTGGCTTGATGGAAGCTCGTGGCTACGGGGACAATGAGGCCCACCCCGGGTTTCCACCGTGGTATTACGGTTCGCATTGTTTGAAACGTTGGTGCTGCTGGCTGCTGCCACACACTCGTCACACAGCACCAAGGAGCGGTAGACGAGCACCGGCGATAGACAACACAGTTTCCTGAGTCCTTTTACGCTTCTTCTAGGTCCAAATTCCAGCGTCCCGGAGCCAGAAACCGAGGCATAAGGCCGTCTAAAAGTTTTTGGAAACGTGAATTGTACACCAATCATTAAAAACACTTCAAAATACTGTAACACAACTCTGTACGATACGTGGACGAAACGTGGGCCACTCGTTTTCGTGACAAAAAAGTATACGATTGAGTGTACAGACGTCTATACTAAGTCAAGGGGGCCCCGTGGTGTGCAGGTACGGATTTTGTGCATGAACTTCGATTTCGCTCGTTTTTTTGCGTTGATCGGTAGGCATGGCCAAAAAACACACGCGTGCTAAGTTTCAGGGGGTTTATTTTTATTTTTTCTTACGTACAAGACCGGACGGGGCCGCCTTCGCCCCGTCCTCACTCTCACCCTCAACATCAAGAATTAGATGAATGGTTGTCTGACGATGGGGTGCGATATCACTGCCTGCGAACAAGTATTACTTCAGTTCTGCAGGAGGCATTATGAAAATAAGAGGGGGTGACAACAATGGGTTGCCGCAAAACACCGTGCTTACCGGTAATTTAACATGAAACCCGTGCATGTACGCCATCAACCTCGTTGAAAAGAAGGAATACTCATCAAATGTGTACCATCAAACACCTGGCGTAAAAACGCTGACTACTTATGTACTAAAAAGCCGTTTTCACGGAAAAGCTAACGTAGTCACCGACGAAAGACCCCCCGAAGACTGCTGCTGATGTTACCTACTTTACTCAGTAGCGACAAAAATAAAACGAAAGCATGCCCCGTGGCCGACGTCTCAACCGAATACGCTAACACAGCTAACAGATCACCAATCAGGCCGTTTCTTACCGTTTGGGGGGGGGGGGGG